TTGAGGCTTGGTTCCGGTGCTAGCCGAATGTGTGTGGGGGGGGGGGTAGGGAGGGAGGGTGGGAGAGATCAGGTATCATTAATGAAATTGACCATATTTGTGTTTATTAGTACTACACCTCCTTTGTGCAAGTTTTGAAATAGTGGTCTTTCTAGTAAGATGCATGGTGATATACTGTCATGTGGAACAAAAGATTAGTATGATTATCCAAATTTGAGTTCTTTTTCATTGAAGATGGTAGAAATAATAATTTAGGGAGACTTTGCCTGCACGCACTCCCTTTGTAGTACATTTCCTTACAATGTCTTGCAAGCGCACAATTTCCAATTTTTAAATTAATGTCTGCTCCATAGGAATGTGAATGAATAAGTTGACTACTATTGTCTCGTTGCGGCTCTCTTCAGTTCTCCTAAGCTTGTTATTCCTTTTTAAATATACTAAAGGCACAAACAACTTGTCTGCTTTTCTATTTCTTTGTTTTCTCTTTCCTTCATTTTCTTAGTACTGATTTCATTGTTCAACAAATGACCATATGCCCAAACTAGTTCTGTTTATGGAGGGGCAATTGATTGGCTTCGACTTGTTTTTAACCGTTGACAGCAACGACTGCTTTGGAGCAGATGAATCATAGCCTTGTATTGGACAAGCCAATTAGAGTATTGTGGTCTAACCAAGATCCTGATGCCAGGAGAAGTGGCATTGGAAATGTGTTTGTTAAGGTAAAAAGATAAATATGTTCTTCATGTTAATATTTCTCACTCTGCATTGCCATATGTAAGTACTAACTCAATATGGTATTGATTGATAGAACTTTGGTGAGCACGTTGACAATGTAACTCTTCAAGAACTATTCTCCAAGTTTGGAGAGCTATTATCTTGTAAAGTTGTTAGAAATGAGGATGGCACAAGTAGAGGCTATGGTTTTGTTCAATTTGCAGCGCAAGAGCCGGCAGACATCGCAATAGAGACTCTTAACAACTCTTACTTTGAGGGCAGAGAATTGTAAGTTAATGTTTCTTTAATACAACTAGTACATGACTTAATTTTATATTGACTATTTCTATTATTAACATTGCTACTTACATGATTTTGTTTTACAATAATCAATCTTGTGTAGGCTTGTAGCTCATTTCATTAAGAAGAGCGAACGATCAGCCAATAATGATGACAAATACACTAACTTGTATATGAAGAATATAGATGACGACATGACAAAAGAACTCATTAAATTGAAGTTTTCTCATCATGGTCAAGTAACTAGTGTGAAGATAATGAAGAGAGATGATGGGACATCCAAGGGTTTTGGGTTTCTTAGTTTCAAAAACCCAGAAAGTGCCAAGAAAGCAAAAGAGGCCATGAATGGGATGGCTCTTGGTAATATTACTGCCATGCATTTCATTTCACAAGTAACTTCTAATGGGCCATGCATTTTTACTTAACAATGTTAATCTTATTTTTATTATTAGGAGCGAAAACTTTGTATGTGGCAAAGGGCTCAGAAAAAGGCTGAAAGAAAGCAATATTTGCAGCTCTTACATGAGGAAATGCAAAATGAAATAATCACTATGAGCAATGCAAGTTCCATCATTGTCTCTTTTATTTATATTCACGTATAGCATTCACATCTTTCATTTACAAATGTCTATTTAATTCTGACAGGGGTCCAATGTGTATATCAAAAATATTAGTGATGAAGTTGATCACTCTTCGCGAGCGCTTTGCTGAATTTGGAAACATTACATCAGTAAAGATTATGCGTGATGACAAGGGCATTAGCAAAGGATTCAGATTTGTATGTTACAGCACACCCGATGAAGCAAAGTGTGTCGTAAGTAGCATGCTGGTAATCCTCTATTTATTTTTGCACCAACTTCATAGTTATACATTGACATCACGATACTGAGAATGTTTTGGTTTGTTTGAAATATATAGGTGTCATGTTTTACGGCAAACCATTGTATGTTGCTATTGCTCAAAGGAAAGAGGACAGAAAAGCTAGGCTGGAGCAACCGTTTGCTGAACTTGCTATGATGGAAGGAACTGCAAGTCCCGTGATCCCCACAGGTTATCCTCATGTGTATTTTGCCCATCCCAGTACACACTTTCCTCATGGTCTGTCAAGGTAAGGATTCATGTATCCACCCATTGGGCTCGGCCAAGAATGGAGGCAGAATGTGTACCCTTCGCCGCATAGTATACAACAAATCCATCCACCACCCGTATGTTATTGACTTGTTCTACTTAAATTTCATTCTTTAAGTGCAAAAACCTGGTTAAAACTTGTTTAATTTCTGCATAGATGCCAAATACTCCAAGGCAGTACAGAAACAACAGGGGACGCATGACCGGGAATATGATGACTTTTCCCCACGCCGTTAATTATGTGTCACATGCTCAGACAGCTAAAGATTTCATGTCCATGTCCCGGCAGGTATTAACAATTTTTAAACTGTTTTTTATATTGATAAAACAAATGTTTCATGTTTGTCCCTATTTAAATAGTGGCTAGGGCTAACAATCTTATTGCAAAGGTTTTTTTTACACCGGCATGGATTACTCTGACCACTAATTTTCATTACAGTATAATTCAGCAAAACTATATGGTCTGATCATTATTTTTTAGACAAACACATGTGTATAATTCCATGTATCTAAGTAAAATTGAGAGATGATAGCAGTCATGATTAGAAAGAAACATATGAGCATAATGACTTTTAAGGAATAGTAGGATAATATTTTGTGTTGTGGCTTTTTTAAACATATATCCTTGTTCCTTTAGTTACTCCTCCTACCTAATTACTATTGTCAATTCAATCATACTAAGTAGACATTGTCTTGTGACAGAACTTCACTAACAAGGAGTGCTAAGTTACCACTTAACACTTTATTAATTAACAGTATTTGACATTTCTTTCCTCCTAAAGAGTTAAGTTGCTACATCTTACGTTGTCTTGTGACAGAACTTCACTAGCATGAATTGCTAGGCAGGAACTACCTTGCACATAGTTAACATTATCTGATCCAGTTATGCTTAGTTTATTTTCCTTCTGGAGAGTTTAAATCTCTACCTGCAATGCAGCAATTCGTCCATGCAAAGTACATAACACCCGATGTTATGAGCAATGGCCTGGCCATCCATCACGGCAGCCCTATTTCATTAGTGAACGATTCTTTCGCCAGCTTGCTAGCTGCTGCTCCACCTGATCAACAAAGAGATATGCTCGGGAATAGGATATATCCACTGGTCGAGAGAGATCATGTAATTCCTCATCTACTTTGGTCCCTTATTTTGCTTCTTTCAAACTAATAAGGACCTAGCCGTTGCACTAACTTGGTATGTCCTGTCTGCTGCAGCCTGATCTGGCCAGTAAGATCACTGGAATGTTACTGGAGCTAGATAATTCTTATCTGCTGTCGATGCTAAATTCGCAGGATACCTTGTCTACAAAAGTTAACGAGTGTGTGCAAGCTCTGCAAGGGCAGCAAGCGGCAAAAAATAAGACTGCGGATCTAGAGTCCCTACACCCTAGCTTCCTGAACTCTACCGGTGTAAATGCCAACTGAGAGGGTTCACAACCAGGCCAAGAACCTTCCATTATCTTTTCCGGACAGGGAATTTTGGGAACTAGATAGCCGTTCTTTCTTATTATAGTTTGTGAGTTTTTACCAATTGGACTTATGAGTTGCTTGTTACTACATAATAAAATATATTAGATTTAGCACCTTGTGAGTTTTACTATTATTATTATGACATCCTATGAATGAATCCTATAGAGAATAATGACTTTTGGTGACTTTACTATGTTGCTCTTCCTCAGACGTTATGGACATTTCTGACTTACTAATTTTGTTGCTTTATTATTGCTTCTGTTTATGGATGATTCACTAAAAGTCCGCAAGGTTTCTCCATATATTTTAATTTCTTGTGGAGTCTATATATAGAGATTAAAGTGTAGACCTGATGTCCTACAGTTGGCATATACTCATATCAGACTATATCTCTGAAACCATGTAGATCATCTGAAGTCCCAGCTGTCCAGGCCACTTTACTAGATGTGTTATTTCTGATTTTGTCTCCTACAGATTTGGTGGATGTGTTTTGACTATTGAGGAAGCCACCGCTGCTGTGTTGTTACGATACTACTAGGGGACCCGTTGCGCCAGATGACGCAGAGATCTGCTGATTCCATGTTAGTGATGAAAAGAAATCCAGGTTTAGTTGATTTAGTTACGGGTACTCACATATGACAATAAATTTAATCTTTTTAGTTGGAAAAAACAGTGATTATTATCTACAATGAGATGTATATACATAATTAAATTTGATAGCATAGGCTTCTAACTGAAACAAAATGTATGTAACAAATCTAATCCTCTTTAGTAGAAAAATGGTATTTTGTTGTCTATAATGAGATGTATATACAAATTCTAATTTGGCAGCACAAAGTTATATATATTCTATAAGATGTGAACGACGAACACCACAACCAGAGATATTCACATTAGCAACAAAGTTATCTACAATCCATGTGAACGACGTGGTTTGCTGACGCGGCCATTTCGGGGGCGCTGATTTCTGTTTGGCAACGATGATGACGTCAAGAGGAGCTTGGGTCACGGCTCGGGCTTCGGTAGTTAGATCTTACAGGCATGTCTGAGGTGCTCTTTCATTGGTTGCTGAGTTGTTTTGAAGTCAAAGCAGCGGTGGAGCGAGTCCAGGTGGTGACGATAACAGACACTCGGTGGTCATTTGCGGAGGGCGTGGTTAGCGTAAGTCCTACATATTTCCCTTGCGAAGCTCGTCTTCAAAGTCGGAGCTGTCGGTTGTTCGGGTGTGTGGCCATCTATTGGCATGTGCCAGGTTGGCCGATGGTACCCATGTTGCATAGGTTGAGTTGTATTGGATTTAGCTTGATTTTCCTCAATTAACCGGGCAATTCTCACTATCTTCTTAATCAATGAAAATGGCAACTCGTTTGCCTCGTTTCAAAAAAAAAACCATGAGCGACAAATAACATCCTTCGGCTGGCACTTGACAAAGTTGAAACGACATTGTTCTGCGCCTGCCAAATATGGGAAGGATATTACCGATGTTGTCCTGGGATGGTAGCCCCCTGGGTGGCATCAGTTACCAAACAAATGAGAGATTAGTAGGAATCAAAACGCCAAGGATTGACCAAATCACAATAGCAAAATTGCGGTCATTTTTCATGTATACATGGAGTGTCAGCTCATAGCATTGCAGAAGCGGACTAAAATTCAGAAGCATGGATGAGAATAGAAATGATGTAAAGTCAAGTCTCGGTTTAAAATGGGCATAAGAAAGTAGTATTTCAGTAGAGCTGTATTGGAATGCACAAAGGCTTAGTAACTGCAATACTAATTTACTCAAGGAAGAGATGCACAATTTACTCAAGTAGGAACTGCTCAATTTTGCCAACAGAACAAGCTGTAACAGGATGGTGGAATTATATGTTGATGTGTACACACCTTCACAATTATAACTCTATGTAACAATGCACAAAGGAGTAGAAGCTACAATATTAATTTACTCTAGGAAGAACTGGTCAATTCTGTCATCAGAACAACTGTAATAGGATGGTGCAAATTTTGTAAACCTTGAACGGGGTGCATAGTACCTTCCAAAGCCTATTAACATCAAGATGTAATAAGGCAAGAGTAAAATGATTGTAACTATCATCTAATTGTTCAAATAGTTGAGAAAGCTTAGAGAATCCATCCTGGTACCTTTTCCTCCCATGTTCTCTTTTCCTTCTTTTACCTACAAAAATGAAGCATGTTCCACAAACTGGCAAAATCTGTGTTGTTACCAACAGACTTCCATATTATAAGAGGTATTCTGGAAGTATTTATGCTAACTAAATTCAATAAAGACCAAAAGCATAATAATTTTGGCAGCCCTGTATAAGACTCGTTCCAATCCTCATGGTGCATCTCCAAGCCCTGCAATCGAAACTAAAACATCACGCCGCACTGAAATCTCTAAACACTAGTTCATCTAACTAATCGAGCAAGTAGCGGTCCTACACTGAAACCCCTAAACACCAATTCAGTTATCCATATTATACACATCCCTGCTACTACAAAATCTGAAAAATGAGAAACTGGACCCTTAGCAACAACTGACTAAAGGCTAAACCAGAGCAATAAACCATACTTCTGCCGTGGCACAAAATTTCTAATAGAATCACATCTAAGAATATTAATTGGAAGGAGAGAAAGGAACTCTAGGAATTCATGGTGGCAAATAAAGCAAATAAAATAATATTGTTCAGGAAACGAGACAATATTGGGGACACAAAAGGTTGTTCCGAGATGTTCCAGACAATCTAACAATTAGACAACACACACAAAAAAGGTTGAATTAAAGAAAAACTAAAAACTAGACTACAATATAAACTGGTTACCTTTTTTTGCTTAGGCAAAGGCCGATATGAACATTAGAAATCAAATTGAACTTATCTTTTTCTGTGTAGTAAAAAACTGAAGAAGTGTTTGTGTTTTTCATCGAAAGGAAAGATGCTAGGAGAGTAATATGCTTATGGCAGAATTAACACTGATAACAGAAGAATATACATACTGGAAATGTTGGACTAAATTTAGCCATGGGAGATACTCAAAAATTGGTGAGCATTGAAAGCCAACCAAGCAAACGAAGGAATATCCCCGACAAAATCAAGAACGGTAAATTAGCATCTAGAAGTATATAAAAACAAACATTCTGCTTTAGAGTGTTATCTCAGTATGATATCAATAACTGGGACTAAAGAAGGTAATCATGTAGAGTGTCACACCTAAGGCATTTTCTTAAGTACGTCTCTAATAATACGACTCACTATTGATTGATTTTACTAAGGTATTCTACAGTTGGGTATTTATAAAGGAAAATCACTATGCTTTTTTAACAGCGAATGGAGAGCAATTGAAAGACTTGTGTTTTTAATTGCAAGAACTAACCACATTAGGCTGCTGTGCAGACTTATTCTTAGTGGAAGATGCTACAGCTGAGAGAAATTGGCTTTGGGTTTCTTCTGCCTGCTGCTCCCTCCTGCAACAATTATTTAGAACAACAAATAAGATATAAGATAACTATGAGATGAGAGAAGGGCATACTAAAGAAACACGTTCGTAGGAATGTATCTAATAATATAGACACTACAAATCAATAGAACTAAAATATTATAGCATTTCTATTAATAGATGATACGCACACTCGTGCGTATTCCAGAAAAAAAATACTATAGCATTTTGGATCAGCTAGATCTATGTGTACATCACCAAATTGGAAGTTTAGTTACTTGTGGTTTGCTTGATAGTAGTTGCCAGTTTTCATGCGCTGAAGTCAAGAACAGACCAGCAGTGACCAAATTTGAGCGCAACCATCCCCTGCAATTCGATTTCTACCCTAGCAAGTACAGACTCGTCCCCTGCGAACTCACACATATACGAAAGTGCCATAAAGCACACTGCGCTAGGCCGCTACCACGGCTTCCAAAACATGTATAAAGACTGAAATAAGCGGACACATCCTGCTCACATGCAAGCATGAAATATAGGCAGCATAAAGCCGAACAATACACGACGCCGTGCCAGATCCAGAAAAGCATTTTAGCTAGACAAAAAGCAAGCAAACCTCGAGGAGCAGAACAAAGATGAACAAAGCAGGAGATCGAGACACATCAATAGTGCAATACAAGAGATCGTAGAACCTGCTAAATACATGGATATGAAGTGGTCAAAGCACCAGCATGCTATGGAACAGAGAACAGACAGGTAAAAGAAGAGTTGTTTCGTAAACAAATAAAAGATCAGTCCATTTACATGAGTTGGAGAGGAGAAGCAGGCTAGCAGAGCAGCCAAGATGGAAGATCATACCAAGGACGAGCAGAACCGCATGCAAAAATAGAATGCATAAACCAATCGAGATCAATTTTCACCTGAACGAGTAGATACACTCCTAAAGGTATGCATCCTAGTAGGTCCTATAAAAATCACAAGAAATCAGAGGATGGAACTTGACTGCCTTCTATATCATTTGGAGCTAGAAAAATTGCGACGAACCACTAATCCCTGCTAAAGCTAACTATCATTCCCCTGTGATATATGGATATATTAGAAAGTGGAGCAAAGCACCTATTAGTTTTGTTTCATCATGGGAAAGCTGTTATCCATGCGCATCAGTGATTTTTCACGTGTTCTGGAAAACGAAAACATACATATAAGTTATATAAGATCACCATCAGTCCTCTTGTAAGGCACTTTTCAGGTTACCACTGTAAGGCAATAGAAGCCATTCTCTTAATGTTCATGCAAATAATTAATCGTCCAAAATGGAAGTAGCTGACTAACATCATATAGCTGACCAATTACAAATAGCTGAAAAACAATACTAACTCATCACATTTAGGTACCACATGGTATGGTAAGAACATGATAACATAATAAAGATAAACTATTAAATGTGTATAAGTTGAATCAAAGAGCAACATAATACATGGGCATTCGAAAACGGAAGGTAAATTCTACAATGAGATTCTGTGATG